TCTGGTGCCCCCTTGTACCAATATTTGTGTCCAAATAAATAAATAATAACAAACATCTACGATCCCGCTCGCGGGATTTGAACTCATCACCTATCGGTCTCGCGAGCGCGAACGCCTAACCTCCAAACCTCTGAGCGGGTCGTCCAATGCTGCCAGGTTTTCCATAATGGTCTAGCTTCAATTGACTCATGAACTCAACTATTAAATTACTATAATATCCACAAAACCTCTTTTTGATTATATACATATTAGCTAACACAAAATCATCTGAACAGATATGAATTACATGTACTCACACTTACAAATCTTACATCATAATAACTCTATAGTTGAGAAAATTTCTTCTCCTTTGTGTGTAGTTTTAATATTCTAAAGTAATTTCTATCGTAAACTTACATCGGTTTGAGAACCATGTAAAAAAAAGGAAACACAACCGATGTTTCGTCCTAACTTGGGAAACCTCATCAATACTCAATCCTAAGATCAACATAGTTCATTATTAAAACCTTCATGCCTAGTGAAACTCATGAAACCATCTGACTTGATTGAAATAGGTCTACGTATCCAACTTTAATCAATCCTAGTATAACACAACTCTAAGTAGAGCCTTAAGTGTTCAGACTAAGACAGGACACTTTATTTAAAATGTTTTTATAGTTTTCATCACGAACTGACCTTAGCTAAATGATTGTCAAAAACAACTATGTCCTAGTATGGGACTACTCAGTAGTGTGTATCCACGACATCCCAGGACTTTCAGGCATTCAGGTGGACAACATTTAGACAAGTGAACCGGCGTTCATTAATTTATTTGTTTAAGCTGTGAATTTCAGTTATTCCTGGTGTAAGGTAGATTTCCACAATAACATTGCACAGTTATTATTTAACACCCTGAAGTGATTACAGTTAAGCTCGTAACCCCCTGGATACCAACTCATTAGTTTACTATTTGAATGCTTGTAACAATTTCCCTAAGGTCTTGGGTTCGAACCTCCGTACTGCCGAAGAGTAATATACTAAGATGAAACAGTTGAGTAGGGCTTTTAAGCTTTAAATGGTTACCAAGCTAAAAGTTGTTTTGTGGTAGAAAGTGAAAAATTCAGCAATCTTCACAAATTCTCTATACTTATATATACATAAAGTTATGAATCATAATATAGATGTGTACCGCAGTCTCTGTTGTACCATAGTTAAGATTTCAATATCTCGATGATAAACGTAAAAATATCAAGTAGATAGAAAAAGAGGAGAGAACTATGAGATTTCAACAACAACAAAAAAAAGAAAAAGAAAAGAAAATAGTTGTTTTGTTTAAAACTATCATACAAAATAATGTGTATAAAAGCAATAAGAAATTGTAGGAAAAAAAATAGAAGGAAGAATACAATTTAACTGCATAGTACATGATCTAATGTTATAGATGATTCAAGTGGAAGGATCCCATTAAAATGATAATACACTTTTGTTCGTTCAGTGAGAGTAATATCTTTAAATCCAGCATTCAAGAAACTATCCACAACAACCTTAAAAAGAAAGAAAACAGAATGCAGAAATTGTATATTGGTAATGATGATAATCAGATGCCACCATCACCCCCGCCCCGAAAAAAATATATTAAACTGTAGAAATTATCACATAAGCTAATAATATCGACATGGTATCTTACAAAAAATCAATAAAATGTGAGGATGAGGAATTAAGGGTAGTTAGTGGTAATAAAAAAAAAGCCTAAACCTTTAATGATTTTATATATTGTGAGATATTACAATACGAATTCAAACTTTCAATCCGTGATAAAACCTGTAAATAATTCAACATTATCGACGGTTAACTGACTCGAAAGCTCCTCATTAACTATTCAATCAAAATAAGGATCGCATGAGTACCAACGACAGCCATCAGGATGAATTTACAACAATTTTAATAGGAAATAGTAACTGGAAAATTCCGACGGCGGCGAGAAAGGGGGTCACGAAAGGGTGTTATTGAGTAGCTTCAATAATTCGTGAGTTGAGTCAGTTGGTCATCAGCAATATATAACTAGGAACATATATGCACCTGATCAAATTACCACAAGACATGAAATTATCAAGATAAATGTAAGAGTAGTAGATGTAGTAACAGTATCAGTGGTAGTAAAATACATTAGGCCTAGACAATAGGATTCAGGAAGGAATGCATTAAAGGAATAAAAAACACGAGATGGTTTTAGAAACTCAAGATCTAAAAGAACATGAAAAGTAATTACACTTGCACAAATGAGACCAATCATAAGAAATGTCACATAACATCTCCAACCCCTCAGTCAGTCAGTCGTTAACAACGTAGAACTTCGTACGTACGTAAATCAGTTCGGGTTGCTACACCACATTAGCACAGAGATGCAGTTGTCCATTCAAGTCCTGTAGTGGCAGAGGTGGTAAGAGTATAAGCAGTAATCGGAAACATTTGGGTTTGAAGATGTTATTTAAAGAGTACAGTCCAGTGAAATAAATTTGGAAAGAGAAAAAAAGGGAGGTACGAAATTCAGAAGATTAGAATTTGGAAGAACACAAAGAGTGAATGCGCCTGCGCCATTGCAAACGATTTTGAGCCATATCATTCAGGGTCTCTAACCATCGGTTGCTATCATCTCGCAGTCCCCAACCAGGTAGTCTACACCTACCAATATGACTCAGTCTACTTGTCAGTGACTTTATGGACTTGTGCCATGTTTTGGTCTGGCCGCCCCTAGCTTTCTTTCAATCTACTCCTATACAACAAACATGGCGCATCGAGGCAGTCGGTAGTTGGGTATACGTAACACATGTCCCAGCAATCTCAACTGATGAAGTTTCACTAGGTCATCAACTGATTTGCCATCCTTACCTAGTACCCATTTCCTAACAACTGCGTTACTTACTCGATGGTCCCCCGACATACGAGCAATATTTCGAAGACACCTATGATCAAATACTAGTAACCTACGAATATCCTCTACTCTTACCGGCCATGTTTCACTGCCATAAAGTAGGACAGAACGAACTGCTGCGCAGTAAACCGGTCCATTGGTTGATAGACGGATATCTCGCCTACGCCATAAATGACGCAAGTTGGTAAAAGCTAGTCGAGCCTTCTGTATCTGTGCTGAGATTTCGTCACACACCAGACCACAAGGGCTGATGAGACTTCCAAGATAAGTGAAGCGATCGACACGCTCAATTACTTTACTCCCTATCATTAGTTCGGGTGTCAATGCAACCCAATCCTGAAGCAACATTTTGCATTTCGAGGGAGAGAATCGCATCCCGAACATGCTTGCATTGTTGCTTAGAGTGGTCAGAAGACTGCATTTTGTCAGCGTCTTCACTAAATAGAACTATGTCATCGGCATGTTCTAAGTCAACAAGTGAATCTTCTGGTAAAGTTCAACCCCTGGAAATTTAGATGAGGAAAGTGTCATCTCTAAAAGCACGTCAACGACAAAGTTAAACAAGAATGGAGAGAGTGGACAGCCCTGACGAATACCACTTGAGGTAATCAATTCTGATGACAGTTCGCCATAAGCTCTCACTCGACCAGTTGTGTTCGAGTAGAGAGCCTTTACAAGGTTAATGCACTTCTTTGGTACTCCTTTCAGTGACAAACACTGCCATAGAACCTCACGATCAACAGAGTCGAATGCTGCCTTAAGGTCGAGAAAAGCTACGACTGTGGGGCGTCTGAGTGTGTGTCTGTGTTCTAGAACCTGAAGTAGTGTAAATATCTGGTCTATACAACCACGTCCGTGTCGAAAACCAGCATGGTTTTCTCTAATCTGCTCTTCACGAGCTTTAATTAGGCGTCGAAGTATTATTGAAGCTAATATTTTAGACACTATATTAGTTAAACTGATTCCTCCGTGATTGTCACAACTTCGTAAAGAGTCGGAGGACCTACATTAACTTGCCATTCAGGTTGACTGGAGATCGTGGGAAACCGAAGTGTGGCTGAAGGCCAGTTGAATTGATCCATGAAGTGTTCTACCCATCGATCCAATCTCCTGGATTGAGAATGTATAATATGTCTATCTTTCTCTGAGACAGTTTCGCCAACAATCGGGTTCCTAATACCGGTTTCCTTAACAAGTCTGAACAATTGTCTGCTATTACCTATCGCCGCTGCCTTTTCCATCTCTCTTGCCTTCGCTACCGACCACTGTTCACAATCATTGCGTAGGCTTCTTGTCAGCAGACATCACTGCTGTTTCCACAGCTTTTCGGATATCATTCCATGCTGCCTCGGGGTGGACATCACATACATGGCTGCCTAACTCTATTCCTAGTTGTTCCTGAAATATACTCTTAGCTTGACTATCATTAAGTAGAACCCTAAGAGGTTTCCTTGCAGCGTCTCTCCTACGTCCAGTAAGACGCAGACAAATACGCGCTCGTACTAGAACATGATCTGAATCTAAGCATGTGCTCCAGAATGAGCGACAGTCTTCTATCGAACCCCTCCATCGGTGGCTGATAGCGATGTGATCTATTTGGGTCCAATGTTGGGACGAATTCGGGGGTCGCCATGTTAAAAGATGTTTTTGCTTATGCTTAAAGTTAGTATTTGCAAGAAGCAGGCAGTTATCTGAGCATAGCTGCAACAGACGCTCTTCATTATCTGTTCTTTGAGCCACGACACTATAAGATCTACCCAGGTGTCTTTCCCTTCCGCTTAGTTTACCTATTTGAGCATTAAAGTCACCAGCCACTATTACTACATCAGAGCACTTAGCTTTTTGGAGAAGGTCGGAAACCTTTCTGTAAAACTCATCTTTTACATCATCTGAGCTGTAGTCAGTGGGAGAACAGGCAGAGACGACGAAGAGGCAATGACGAGTGTCCCTATCTTTCCGAGTCCTTACTGTTCCGTTTAGTCGGACAGCGCACATACGACTGTCTACTGGGATCCAGTCTAAGAGAGCAAGATCTGCCCTAGGGCTCAATGCTATACCTACGCCGCGGAGTCCACGAGAAGCAGCATCTGGGCTACCAGATACACGAAGCATGAATCGAGTTGGTTCTTTATTTTGACATGGTGAGGTCAAATGAATGACGCTACTCGGATCCTGTATGCGCGTTTCGGAGACGTAGCACACATCGATGGCGCGAGATTCTAAAGTCCTAGCTAAGGAAGCCAGTTGTCCTATTTGGTAGTGTTCGGGCGTTATAAGCTCCTACGTGTAGTTTAGAGCGTGGTTTCAGGAGACCGGGAATAACGTTCCGCGCACTCGAATCGTTTGCCCTAGCAGTGCGAGGTGATAAAGGGACGTGAGAAGGGTTATTCATGGAGATAAGAGAGGTATTAGGAGGTGTAGGAAGGATTTGAATGTGACCAACTTGGTCTCGTGTGCTGTTACGGGTATGAGGGCTGATGTCACTTCCCGGCTGCCCACACAGTGGAAGGGTATTTCTCGAGGAGCCTGAAAAGGAAGTTCAATTAATGTTGGCCTTAACGACCTGGGAGCGTGACCGCAGAGCCCAAGGGACAACTGTTTGAGGCCGGTCGCGCACGATCTTTTTGTGGGAGGTTTTTAACTGGTTAGCTCTGTTCTTCAAAGGGCCTTACCGCCAGAGACGGGAATCCGTGAGGTAAAGTGAGGTGTGACACTGTTAGGGTCAACCTTTTCTAAGCCCTTCCTTCCATGTGAGAAGGCAGCATCGCTGCAGATGCTGGTTGTCCGAGGGAAACACCTTACTGCCGTCACACCCCTCTACAGTCGGCAGTACGACTTCGCCTTCAGACCTTGAGTTGCTGCTTTTAGTCTTACCGTTCTCCAATCGACCTGCCTGGCATGGTAAAACCTACAGGAACATATGTTCCAGCCAATATAGCTCGGTTGGGTCATCACGATAGGCAAGCCCGACCACTGCGTCAAGGTAGCAGCTACGGTCGAGATCTCCAACCACTGCTTACGATAAACACGCGGAACCCAATCAGGTAACCCAGGCCATGACACCACTTCTTAGTTTGGCCGCCCCTTTTTTCAGTCTATGCTTGGGCAAGTGACCATCATGTGTCCTGGTAAGTTGTGTTTAGGCAAACATTATAAATGACACAAACCCCTCAATCGATGAGGATTTACTACCTCGTTAAACCGTCTGCCACCTTTACCTAGTATCCTGGATCTAACCTCAGGAGTGATTAATTGATGGTCCCAACATATGCGAGCAATGCTTCTAATACATCGATAATCAAATAGTAATATCCTCTATTCTCAAAAGCTAAGTTCCCTATCCATATGTTAATACATCTCGAAATTATTCTCCATAAATCATTTAACCAAACAATCAAAATAATTAGAAACAGATTTTATACTTTTACTCACCTCCTTAATTCCATCTAAAACAATGATGAATCGATAACGCTGTTGTAACAACGGCCAAATAGTACTAGCCATAAGAGCTGTATTAGCAAAACTAAATACTACCATGTCTGCATCTGGTAGTGTCTCTACATCATCACGATTATTAAAACGTGAACTTTTGAACCAAACAGACACTTGATATTCAGATGACCACTGACGATCAAAAGCAGCTAGATAATTGCCCCATCCAGCACATTGATCAATGGCAAAATAAATAATACGTTGAGTGAAGCCACGACAACGTGCATATGCCAAATAAGCAGCTATATCTGGCCCGGGACCAACACCAATACTAATAATACGACTAACATGATCCCGTAAATAAACTTCAACGTCTGGATTTTCCGGTATAATTCGATAGACTAGAGCCTAAAGCGTAAAAATGAAAGAACGGAATAGAACTCATTGATGAAAAACAATGAATACATTTATTAATGCACATATGATTATGTGTAAATATTCAACTCCTACCTCCTCTACGTTCTAGATTCCAGCCTTAATACACTTATTCTAATGACGTAAACAGATCAGTAATGTAAGCCTTGATAGAGTAAAGGAGGACAAACTTTGAATCCAAGATCCTGTATTAGCAACACTCAGTGGTTGTTTGAAATATATCCATAACCCTTTTGTACAGTAGTCGCAAACAACAACTTCCCTTGAATATTTCACTTTTTGAAAACTAACAAATGGAATGAAGCTATAAACGATACGACAATAGATGTTACCAATATTATTGATATTACATACATATGTATCATCATACTTGTATACATGATACACGAAACATTTGTAAACAATAATAGATTGTTTATTATCTTTACTTTTAACAACTTCAATGATATCTTATGAATGTTGACATGTCATATTAAGTAGATATGTGTAACTTTCAACATAAGTATTATGCTAACAATAGATTCCTGATGATCTTATTAAAGGTTTACTTAGAAATGATTGATTCACTACAGCTTTACGGAACTAAAAAGTACCTAACTACTGCATGTATAAGTCTGCTGGTTTTCTTAAATCCTTAGTTCACTGCAACAAAAACCACAATGTTCATAAAAATAAACAAAAAAGCCCTCATTTAAAAAGATTGTACCTTTAAAAATTAATGGATAGATAGTTGATATAAAGGAAAATCACATTTATTTATTTATTTTTTTGAAAATAAAGATATATTTGAGTTACTTTTACCTGAAGGAAACTTGTAGAACTATTTATATAACGTTGTCGAGTGTAAGTGGCACGAAATGTATCGTTATCATAATAAGCTAGAAGGCATTCTTTACGACGTATTTTACCTGGTAAAATAAAAAAAACGAAGAATCCTAGAGATTTAACCAATTTATAGAACTATATGAAACAAGAAGATAGAGAAGTATAACAGTTAATATAGTTTTATTTGTAGGATTTGTATCAATTAGAGACTAAACATAACATAATCTACTCCCAAATGCCCTGGTACGGCCGAGAGTGAGGAAAGTTCGCTCTCCCCCTCCAAATGCTCTCAAATCGACACGCGTATATGGCCTCTGCCAGGGAAGTTTTACTCACTGCCTTCAAGCGACATCACTGTCTACGAAATTGAGAGGACGAAAACCGAATGTCTGGCGCTTTAACCGGGTTGGTGGATACATAGAGTTCACCTAGGGGAGTTGGAAAACCCTGATTCCAAATTAGTGATGCACATGGGCTCCAGGATCCTAAGGAAACAAATGACGTATGAACGAACTGTTGGTCACCGGTTACCATGGGACTGCATCTACTGACGCTGCTCCACTGCCTTGTGGATTAGACCTTTAGATCAAAGGCTCAGGGTGTGCTCCCTAAGAAAACCACGTGCTTCGGTCCGAACTCCAGGGCAGTATCATAGCCCACACATAAATCAAGTGACTTGTGTGGTGCATATGTATTCGGTGCCCCTTTGTACCAATATTTATATGTTCAAATAAATAATAACAGTGGATTTTGGGTAGGATCACCCGTTATTCGATTACTTTTACCAGTTAATTAGTTAGATAGCAACAAATGTCAACTTAAATTATGATTATCATGACACGGCTCTCCTCGTGGAAGTGGCCTGGTCAGTAAAGCGTCTGACGTCCAGTGTATAGGCGACACTATCTTATTGAGCAATTATATACTGATTGCATAAATAACGTTTAGTCAACCAGTAAAAAGTTCACACGGTACGCGTTTTATACCAATAAAAGAATTGAGAATTTTCAATTATGTTTACTCTAGATAGTGAACCATTGGGAAATGTAAAATATGGTAAGTCATAGGTAGTTTGTAATATTGAAAGGAGGATGGTATGACTTCTCCGTGCAACAAAAGCCATGGTAATATACATAAGCCTAAATCCCCTTTACGGTAGTAATAACATTAATTTGGCCAGAAAAGGTAATTTTATGCATTACTTTGCTTTTATGAACTCTAAAATTGACTGCTAGTAAGAATAGAGCCTGTAACGCCAGATCAAGATGCATATAAAAGGTTTTAAGCTAGAAACCAAATGACTAAAAGGCAATTTTTCAAGTCAATAAGCCACAACATTGTAACGTTTGGGAACATTCCCCGTTGTTCATCGACATGAAGTTATCTTAATACAAATAGATTAATGATCTGAATATATATACTATGGTAGACTCAGAACTTTCATATCCATTGTTTTCTGTTGCATATATATAGTCAGGGTGCACACGAAAAATAAATACAAAATTGAGTTTTAACAGTATTACCCCATTCTCTATAGAGACTTTGACCTCGTTGTTCACGATCGGATTTAAGTGTAGAGTTAAGTAACTTCTCTATTGGTTGATATAACTCCATTATTCGTTTGACTTCTTGAGCAAATTTAGCTCGTCTCTGAACACAGTTCTCCCATGCAGACCGGAGCTCTACATCTAACTCATCATCAGCAAGCTTTTGCTTTAAAAATCTCTCCCACCATGCCTCAACAGACTCATCCGACTCATTACTCCCAGCTTCCACTGTTCCCGTCATGAATGCACAATTCTGATTAAAGAAACAAGGATTAAAAAAACAGCACGAACGATATAATGGAATTGTTTTACTTATTTGAACACAATCATTACTACAAGGGTGCATTAAATACATAGCAATGGAGATTTGATGAGATAGAGAACACCCAATACGTAAAAATGTGATTCAATTTTTCCGTGTTATGTTATTCGGTAGTAGTACATTCTTGACTTTTTCAGTGTATATACGGCCAGCATTTTTATCGATAGCACAGTTGTTTATCTGAGATAATGCATAGTTTGTTTCAGCTCAATTATTACTCAGACATTATTATTATTATCAAATTCTCTCCAATTTGGTAGGTTGGTACAAATCGTTCGATTTGTGTGGCGCATATATATTTGGTGCTTCCCTGTATCAATCTTTATGTGTTTAAATAAATAAAACGTACCATATAAATGCCAGAATATATATATGGTAAGATAGTCAGTTACAAGTAAATCAAAAATGTGCGGTCGAACACAACGACCTATATTTGGTAAACGAGTTACATTAATTGAGTCGTCCTAAGGAATTAAGCATCTTACTGTTCAAACTGTATACGATGCATAAAGGCTTACAAGTTTATATATCTCTGAACCCCGAGAACGAATATTACAGTACTTTAATTATCTACTTTGGATCCAGAAAGCTAGTTACCAGATACAGAACACCCATAGTGTGGGATTCAAAAGCAAAAGTTCTCAAAACACGGTCACCTTTATAAATCATTCGCTAGTGACTATTATATTAGCATAGAGAAGAATCAGATGCATGCGGACATTTTACCGACTGATGTGGAATAATTTGATACGTGACACTAGAAACAGTCACTCAGTAAGTTACAACGTAGAACCTGCATATATATATATATATATATATATATATATATATATATATATATATATATATATATATTCCTAGTTGACTGAACTACAACGTTAACTATCAGTGAATGACATCCTAGATCTATTCTGTAAAGCCATTAGAAAATATATAGATACAGTTTTACAGAAAACATGTTTAAGAAACTAACTTTATGTTTATACACAGGAGAATTTAATTAGGGGTACAGAGCAGCTGATCAAACTGTGTGATGCCTTTCGGTCATAACAATGTAAAACAGCTTTGATGAAAGGCGGCACAAGTAAGAATGAAAGTGGGAACATTGTGATAGGAATTAAATCCGTGAATTTAGGTTAGTCGGTGTAAGAAATACACAGGTCAAGAAAAACCAATGGAATGAACAAAATTCGTTTTAAAAAATCACAGTGCTTATTACTTCCTCGTATTTGTAAGCCTTGTACACAAATTTGGACCTTTACATTCAAAGATCAAAGTTCGAAATAAGATTGAATGTTTTGATTACAAAGAGATGCACAGGGCTGATGTAGAAGTTAAAATTTACAGCAATATCCTGACCACTTCGAGTCATTGACTATAAGAAATCAGACAAAGGATTTCAAAGGCGAAAGTTTCGACTAAAGACTAAAAATAAAATCTCCGGAATGTTACTGGAAATGAAAAAGGTCACAATGTCAACAATATATGGTATTGACTAAGCTGTTCGAATGATTTACATAGGGTGGTGAAGCATGATGGAAGTGATAGAAGACTCAGTGGATAGATACGGATTTTAAACCACGCTTAAATGAAGGTGCTTTCAAATAAACTATGTCGTCAGCTTGAGTTAGCGTTAGCATACAGTTCCACCACACCTCGAATTCGAGATGTATGACATCAGATATCTGATATCATATGTTCATATATCGTACATAATTACATTAAGTCAAATCTATCATGGATATATTTATATATAGATTACTATATGATAATCAACAGTCACAAATAGCTAGGTTGCAAATATTAACTTCATGTGTATTGTATCTAAATCCCATATCTCCATATTTTGGTGAAAAGTTTATCCATTTTGTGGAAGTCACTATGAAGAATTTTGGGTAAATGACACAAAAACTCCAAGAGCTTCCCCAGGTTCGAAGAAATTTCCCCAAAATTTGGGGAAAGCTGCTAAGTGTTATTGGATATTGAGGAAAAGCCCGAAAATTCCCCAAAACAGAGAGAATGAGATGACAGTAGGTCCCGATCCCCCGATTCTGAATAAAATTCGAGATTTTCCACATATCCGAAAGAAAGTTGGCAGTTTTTCACGAGGTTTGGGGAAAAACCCCAGTGTTATAAAATTCTGGAGAGATATTTCCCGAAAACTTTAGGGACTTTCCCCAAACCTGGGAAAATTTTGGGGTTTTGTAACATCTCCACAAAAAGTCCCTGAGTTTTTTATTGCGGCTTCCCCAAAATCTACCCAAAACGGACAAAATTTATTTCAAAAAAAGGGGATCGGGTAAAATGCATATATCTAGTGTTAAAACAGTGCGGATGCCATGGATTAAATGTTAATATTTAGCTGGAAAAATCTGTAGTCTTTTGAAAAAAGTGGTGTTAGACATTCTGCTCCATTATATTAACTCAGAAAGTCTCCTAATTGAAAAATGTGGAATTACATAAAAGGCGCGTATACATACCTGGTCACGACCTTCGGTAGGACAAAACGGCTAGCACTATCCAATAGAGCTACATGGTTTGAACTAGTTGATTTCTATACCCCTGGATCTTCAGGCTGTCTCAAATTTTTAACTGTGTCAAAAGAAGTTTATTTTAGCCACTAAGCTGCACTATTTCAAGTTGTGAATATTAATGTGTTTAATGTTTCCATTTTACTCCATTGTCTCACAGCAAAATGGTATTGCTGGGATCAGTGAAGATCACATGTAATTTCCGCATCTGTCTTTTCAGGCGATAAGCAGTGTTGTTTCTTTATGGTTATCTCGCATCCTTTTAAAACAGTCTACTGACTTGAACATCTGGCCTTACTTGGACCAATATAAACTGATTTGTAATCACAAATGAATGCATTCTACTTCTGTCCCCATAAGCTTGTTTTCATAAGCCAGTACCAATTTGCATAGCGTTTCTCGTCACTTGCTTCCAAATACTCATGTCTTTTATCCCAGTAATGGAGACAACGAGAATAGATTTGCAGAGTGAGACAGCACTTGCGTTTTAAACTATTCTAAGAGCAGTTGAGAGATGGTCAATATGAGCTGTTCATGAAAAAGTTGAACAACAGCATAGGCCCTATTTACTTCATCGGTGCAACGAGAGGTGGGAGTTGATCATTGCACTTGATATATGCCCAAGTTATGTTTTGTCAAGACATCTGGAAGCGACGATTTCGAACGTGTCCACTACGTCGTACGAGTGTGTAGGTATATGACGTGGTATTTAGCAAGATTGAATTTCAGGCCAGACGACATGTGACACATTTTTGCTGATTGTGGAACAATGAAGGACATAGTAAAGCTCCCAGGAAAACTCCGAATCCCAAGGCTCTTTAACTAGCATGTATTCCAAGTCCTTGCGCCACTCAGTCACAAATTCTTTGGAACCACATAGTAAATTCCTCAATGAAGATTGTTAATCCATCAGAAGAACTGATGATGTTACGCTGCTCATGTTAACTGCTCACTCAAATAAACAAGAACTGAAAAGTTCTGTTATCTTCAATATATCTTCAATATCTTTGTCACGAGCTTGTATAATCCTACTGATTTCTTTGCTAACACTTCCAACTTGTTCGGTACTGTTCCAGGTATTCTACTTAACGACACTAATTTTAGTTTGTTTTTTTGTTATTTGTGAATATGCTTGTCTTTTAAGTTAAGTACGTGGTTTTGTTTCAGGGCAGGTATGCTTATGGACGTCAGCAATTTTCACACTACCAGGTAAGAGGTTGGCTTGTCGCAGTGTGATAATAATAACGTGATGATTTAAATGATAAGAGATGTTCTTTCCAAGAATAAGTGCTTCTTTTACGTATTTGATAATGTGTAGGAAGACGGAATCGATAGAATAAGAAGGAAACGGAGAGAATTATCAGAGAAATAGGAACTGGCTACTGGTTATGATTAGTGTTAACCTTGGCAAATTACGTGACATGCATCAGGGACAGTTGGTTCGAAAGAGAAATGATAAGCCATGAGTGAGTACGTATTCATCCAAACTCTCATTAAACCTATCTACTAAGGGGTTGTAGTCACGTCGGGTGTGAGAGCATTACAAATGCAAATACGAGAAAAATCGGGTGCGTATTTGAGTGTCTGCCCTTTGGTGGACAGCTTCTCGAGGCTTGCTTCGAGGAATAAACGATCATTAGAAACATTGAACTTAATAGGATGGGAATCACAAAGTTTAGCATTACTTGCAGTGAAATGAATAGTAGCTTTACAAACTACCCGTTTGTCTTCAATTTTACCACATTTAAAGCATTTAGCATTACGAAATACATGTGAATTAAATGAGTGAAATTTGGCACAAGATAAACATTTACCAAACGTTTGCTCATCTTCATGACCTGCTACACACTCTTCGATCAAATGTTATCTGCAGAACCTCAAGTACGCATTAGATTCGGATGACGTTTTTCTTCTTTACCGCATTCGAAATTTGTACACTCCAGATGATCTAGTAGCAATTCTTTTAGAGTTGCATAGGAAAGCGAAATTAGTTTTTCTGAGAATGTTAAAATGTTTAGTATAACTTCCTTGAACAGTTACCAAGAATACAAATTTCTTAGGCTTTCTCAGCTTCAAAAAGAAGACGTTAGTCTCCAGCACGAGTTATTTTCGACAATCGTGAAACTATGTATGAAAATATGACGACAGATAAGAAAACTTCATTATGTGACACATCTTCAGGTAGTGATCGTCCAATTATGCTGAACATTTCTAACGCAACGCCTTCGATTCGTTGCACACTTTATCGTTCAAATATTTTTCCTCGCTGAGTTAATTTCAGTGTTTTGGTAGTGTATCACTCATCAATATTACTGTTTTTACGCTGATTGAATGTATTTCAATTAGAGTATCTGCCAGAAGTATTGTTCTTGTTACTTTTGAATACATTGGTTGTTTTTGCATTTGCTTGCACATTTTGTTCTAACAATTTACAGTTTTCACTATACGTGACCATCAGTTTCTCTTGTCTGTGGGTATTGTTTGTTTCTAGTTTCCGTCGGAAAGCCTCTAATTGATGGCTAGATAGTGCACTAAAAGCAATTGCCAACGTCCAGGCTGTCGAAACACTGTGGAAAATAGCATGTATTGTGTTGAGAACAAAAGACGATTTCGTAAAATTATAGTCTAATTCGATATTGGTACATTTGTCTTCGGTACAATAACTACAGACTTGATCCCATAATTTTAGATATGTCATGATGTCACTACATAATCTTACATGAAAGTCACATCATGGTTTACACTGACTCGTTCTATCGTGACAATCAGCAAAGTGACTGTTTTTTGACTTTGCATAAATTATTATTTCGTCTTAAACCCAAGTGCTGAGTACAAGCGGCAAGCCCCTGCCTCGAAAGAGATAGTGAGCTGTTGGTAAAGTCTCGAAGAAGCGTAACCAAGTTGATTTCTGTAATAACAGAGCTTCTGTACGATGTTCGACTGGCTAAAATAAAACAATTTCCATATCTTATAGAATAAGTGAAGGCAAATTGATCACAGATTTAAAGTTACCTGGGAATAAATTTGCATCTGATGTGATAACACTTTTCTTGTCTTCCGAAACAAGGAATTTACAAGGACAGTAAAAATATTCACAAGTTCAGAACAAGTTACTTGTTAGTTGATAATCGACTTTCCCATAAAACCATCAAGAAATGGAATTCATCGGAAATTTCAAAGAAACATGGGTCAGCTGAGAGATGACCATTGTCAGAACCAACATGGGCCACCAAACCTCATACCTTTTCAGAAATGGAACTGAAACTACTGTAAGCAGACATGGATTTTGGCTTGCTGTTGAATCGGCGAGACTCTAATTTATGAACGAGCCAGTCAGAGGCGTTTTAGAGATTTCAAGGTTACAGCGCCAACTTCAATGCCTAATGCTAACGTACTTTCGATTCATAGGCAATTTTATACAAAACGTGATAATTGAACGACTGTAACAAATAAAACGGCGAGACTATAATTTGTGGACGAATCAATCAGGTATAAGATAATAGATCTCGGATTTTAACGCGAAAGCCTTCTATCCATTTGGCTAGATAGTTTTCTGGCATTATAGCTGGTGTCAGTTCGTGATGAAAAACACCATGTATAATTCCTAACTAAGGCAAATTACGATAATTATTGCGAACTGGATAATAAATGCACCAGTAACACTGGCTGCAGCCAGGTATTACAATATATATGGATGTTTGGAGGGCGTGCAGACTCCTTCATAGGCTTGGTTATGTGCATTTTGTCGTTATCCACGACTGACATTTTGTTCGCCCAACAACCGAAATGCACATAATCAATATTGAAGCTATGTGGTCGAGGCTGAAAGAATTTTTGAGACTTTATCATGTCTCCAGAGGCCGACTATTCTGTAGCCGCCGTATGGATGATTCCCTCTACTTCATGCATTACGATTTTAGAACCTATGAACCTCTTTCTAACCTTAACAAGTTTTTGAACCATGTCAAGAAGTGTATCCACTTTACTTCCTTGGTTTTTTATAACATCTTTTCACTCTATACTGACTGATGACTGGCTAATATTTCTCAAGGTCACTCAAGATTCGTTCAAAGGTCGTCCATAAATTAGAGTCTCGCCCCGTTCGCTTCAAACGTCATCGCGTTATCCACAAAGCTACTGACTACAGGTAGCCACTAACTTGTGTAGGACGAAACGACTGTCCTGAATTCCACTGCTAGCCACGATCACACCGCTCATATTGCTTGTGAATTGAGTTATTATCAAGGCGTCCCACAGAATGCACATATGCTAATAAGACTGAACGGTTGCAGTGCCAAAAATCAGTGGGACGATTAGAATAACCAACACGGAAATGAATTGAAACTGAAACTGATAGCAACCACAAATCCTACATCAGACTGACGTTGCCGACCTGATACGAATGAAGATGCGAGTGATTCGTCACGCTCCTGTGTAAACTGTCAGACATCTGAAATTATTGGACACAACAGGTATCACTTAGGCTCTTTCAAAACTCCCGACAGTCGTTTCGGTCATTTTCATCTTGACTTAGTAGGACCCTTAATAGATTCAAATGGACACTTACCTCAACGTATGTAGACAGTTTCACACGATGACCCTCAAGATAATTGCTTTTGAAACAGCGACCCGCCCCTTCGTCGAACAGTGAGAGGCAAACTTCGGATGCTCTTCAACTGTCACTACAGACTATAGACACTGATTCCAATCCGGACTGTTCCTTTGTCTTACTTAAATACTAGAAATCATACAATAATAAACGATCACACATCACTCACAACGATTTCAGCGATAGTCAAAAGCTTCACTCCCAGCTGTTAACGTTTCATAATGAACTGACACTCTCTCAGTCGTAACACTCGGTGTTCGCAATTCAGTGGAAGCTGATGTTGGATACACTGAAACACGACTCGTTCATGGAACGACACCCCAACTTTCAGGCTTACGAACAACATAAGTTCAGTTAAACCCGTTTCCACCTGACTGCTGGGCAACCGGAGTTTTAGTTTATCTTACCTCACGACAGTACACACCTCGTGGGAATATCGAAATGGTATTCGAATGGAACCTCAAAGTCCATCGCAAACCTGAATAATACATCACCTATAAAAACGGAACTAACAAGAACGTCAGCACTGACCGTCTTAAAGCCGCTTATTTAGAAGAAAACCGATTTACTGCTGATTTTCCTCCTTTACATTTGAACGACATGAGCCACAGATCTACGACGCCTTCCCTTATAATCAACAACCACGATGAAAGTTTGCCGGTACCCCAAACCCTGATCAAAGCAACGCGCTCTGAAAGAAGGGTAATGTTTCCGGAATACCTAAACGACTACCGAGTGTAGAACAATCAATAACATTTTGTTTGATCTCGTTTCTTTGTGTTTTTGTGCTGAAATAAAAGCATTTTTTCACTGATATACTCATTTATGTTTATACTTTTCCTTGAAAAATCCAAATAAAGATCAATATAGAAAACATTTTTACGTAGCGCGTAATCTTTTTTTTTTTTAACGCATTCCTTGTTTCCCCATGCACGTACGAGTGTAGTTCATTAAGGATGTATAACATCTTTTTTTGTTTTACAGACCGGCATTTTCATTGTACATTTTCTCCATTGCTATATCGCACTGCATAGCACTTTACATACGATATGGGAAACCAGATAATGCTGAACATAACAAGCTTTTAGAAGAGTCCTTACCAACGACAAAGCTGGTTGAGTTGAAACTTACAGCTGACCACGTTCTGGAGTCATCAATACCCTATGAGGGGGGGGTAAGAATGTACGGTAAACCGATCCCCAAAATGAAATAGTTTTGTGGTCTTCGACAACCGATGATGACTTAATTGGCTTGGACCAACGTACTCTAGATGAAGGTGATCGGTCACGCAGCAGTATCAGATCACGAATGAGTACGCCGTGCTACGCATCCCTTGCAACTGCTAGCCGGCTTAAACGAAGCGCTTCTTGACACATGACGGCTCTCTAACCATACTTTTGAACCCCTTCATTTCTGACCTCTGACTTAACTGTGTAGCTGTGCGTCGATTAATAACCGAATACCTGAGACTGCTTTCTTCATATTATGTTTGCTTGTTGATGCTTCTGATACTACTGCCTGCCAGCAAAAGATTACTCGTTGAACGAAAATACTTGGATTTTTATGAAGTTTCTTTTTTCTCACTAGCTCAAGTAAATACTGAAATTTAAAGCATATGCTCAAGCGAAAATTAAGTGATGTCCTATCCAGCCAAATATCTACTTGCTCCTTATCGTGATCACTCGTTACTTCATGAGAATTGATGTTTTATCAACTGGACTTCACAAAGTTTTGATTCTTGTTGTGATGTATCAAACCGGTATGTTTGTTTAGTTGAGCGTTGGTTGTTAAACTCTAACAGCGCGTAACACGGTTAGCCGATTATGAGGTTGGTTGTTCTTTGACTATTTCTTCGTATCTGCTTGGTTCAAATATCTATTGTCTTACACAAAAATTTCCGCTTTGATTTTTCTTTATTCACTGATTGTTTATAACGATCATGTTTCGTCCAGTTGTCATCAATTTCATGAGTATATTTTAGGGAGCACTTTCGTGGAACAAGACAATATGTAAAACGTGAATTCAACCCTAGGGTTCATCTTGCCACTTAATTTCACGGGTGTAAATCAATACGACATATGTCAGCTTTCTTTATCCATGTTGTCCGCTGCTCGAATATTAAGTGTCGTACTAATGGATAGTGGTTTTTAGAATCGTTAATAAATAATTTTGATGTTTCCTGTTCCTTTGTTGTATCCTGTATTATATTTGCTTTGTTCTGGAACATTGGTGCACGCGGTTTTACTCTCTATCCTGAAGCTAAATCTAAATCACTCATCTCGACCCGGTGAGATTAAAATATGTGGATGACCTTTGAGAGACTCTTAATTAACGCCTAGAAAATTCAATTACCTACTAGAAGATGGTTTACGCTGAGCTTGAGGAATTAGGATTAGGATTGAGCATTAGAACTTTGACTTCTGATCCTTTAGGGTTAGGAATTTAAGGTAGGGTATGAGTCGCGAACTGAGATCAGCCTTAATGTCGAAATGTTATTTAGCCACATAAATGAACAAGTCTATGAGCTACTACTTTTGGTTCCATTGATTCGTCAATAGTTTATAGTCTCATCCATAGCACGCTGATGGGCATTTAATGTCCCTCATGACCATTTTAGACATGCTACTTTCAAATGGTTCATTCAGGAAACTATTACTGGAGAATAGGGGATTGTGTTTTTGATTTTATAGCCTCTCTAAGAATTCTAATTATTTGACCGTTCACATGGTCAAAATTGTGGGTGAGCGCCTTAAATATCATTGCAATGGAACGGCTTGACAATGCCGGTGTAAGGAAAATAAAATAATTAAGTTTCACAGTAGATTGTATAAGTTGTCAATCTGTAACCGATGGAGGTGTCTAAAGCAGCATGATTCTTGATAGTTATTCTGAAATGGAGGATACAAACCTAATATTGCTCATGCATTAAAAACCAAGGTTTGTATTTGAATAGCTTTATTTAGATGTTTTGATTGAAAAAGGGAAAGTCTCAAAACCAGTTTGCTAAGTTCGGAGGAAAACGAAAGAAAGTATTGGCAAATTTTAAAACAAAATACGCCTAACATCTTATCATTTAATAAAATGTGTTTTTAACAACTGAGTAAACCCAGTGATTTATTAAGGTATAACTATTGCTGCGATAGCACTTTGTGACGAATTAGTTATCGTTTTCGTTTTATTGGTTTCAATTCTCGAACTAAATTTAAATGAAAACATTTGAAGTGTTTAGTTTCTTGTGCTTTCCATCGGCCAACGCACTGTCCAAATAATTGCGAATGGAATCAATCTAAGTACATTATGTGTACATAGGATTCAAGTGAGACATGGAACGATGAAGTATTTGAGGATCTTGACCTCTGAAGACTTCCATTAATATTCTGGGTGATGGACATAGATGTAAGACAAGTGCATATTATCGCAAATGAGAAGTGTTTTGAATTAACTTATTTTGAAATATAGTTCCTATGGATTCAGTGTATTTACTGATGATGATACGTAAATATGTAACTATCGTGACTGAAAAAGTCTTTACTTTTTAGACATAGTAGCTTACTAAAATAATAGTACGTTGACTACAAATCTTCAAATTGTGTAACCCATTATTGAGGATAATTTTTATAGTTATGCCTCTCTCTACAAATCAGATATTTTTTGAAGTCGTGTGTGCAAATAGAAATCAGTTAGCGTTTGCAGGCGTATATTTAGATATATATCGAACTTCTGATAAACATAAACATATGCCTTTTGTAATATGGTCTATGCTAATATTATCCTCGTCATCTCTGAGCACTGTTGCAACTCTATACTATCGTCCTTATTTTTAACCGTTTTTACTTCCTCTCTTTTGTGTTCGTTACTGAATCTATCAGATAGTTCATCTGATCAAGTGATCATTGCAAAATGAACCGTTTTTAGACATCGAGGGAACTATTCTTATATTCGACTTATATATAAATGCATTGAATATAAATAGTTGCATGTGAAATCTCCAAAAAATGTTTAGGAACTAGGTCAGTTAAGCAACGCAGAACCTGGCACATGTTTATATCGAACCAAGTCGCCATACCTTATAAGCACAGCGAGATAAAACTATCAGGAAAAATCCCAGAATGGTGCAGTTAGTAACAGTATTAGTAGTAATAGAACAGGACTGGCATCAAATATACATTTCAAAAAATTTTAATTAGTGGAAAAATGTACGACGAATTTAGATACTTAGGATCTAAGAAAAGAAAAAAGGAGTGAATGGAACCCCTCTGGAAATCGCTTTTCCTAACTTTTCGTACTTTTAACTTAAACAGAACAGTTTAACACTTTATAAAAGGTTCATTTTAACAAAATTAGGAACAGCACTAAAAGCAGCTAGGAGGTCTCAAAGCTACAAATTAGCTAAGGAAGAGATACTCGTAATGATGCTTAACAATTAGAATATTAGAATTGAACTCAGCTGATTAATTATGATGGATTTCAAACCAACTAGTTTATTACTTCTATCCCCTCTTCTGATATGAGGTACAATTATAAAGGAACTACAACAAAGTTGCATGTGATTGTTGAAAATCTGTTGAGAGTGGGTGTACATCCATCGTTTGGTAAGGTTACCAAAATATCAACAGACTCTTGCCGCATCAGTGAAAGGTCTTGTAAGATTTACGGCCAATTCGAGTCAGTAAGTAAATAAAAGTTGTTGACCAGGTTACACTGCAGTTCTCATCTGGAGAACCAAATATTTAAAACACACCATGCAAGTTGATTAACATAGTAAGAGGTATCGTGAATCAATTTTTATACACTCCTAAAATACTTAGCTCGATTTTTATATCTTGTTAGTCAATGCTAAGTCAAAGTAGGTGCTTTTAAAGTTCTAGTTTCCCTCAGTTGTGTATATACATCGTCATTGATACCTTGTCACCCAATATCTCATTTTCGTTTTATTTCCATCTGACAGGTGATTCAACAAAATACCCTGCATACTCCTCAAGGATACTATTTTGTCAAACCTTCAAATATTTTATTATTCATGTATTTTAATTTGTGTAACACAAAATATGGGAAATCATACAGTTAATGAAGTCACCAACTTTTTTGAACGTGGCAGTGATGTCGAAGATGATATCAACACTTTAGCATCTACTAATACACATATTACGGAGAATAATCAATCCGTCTTGGTATCTTCTACATCGGACACATTTTTAGTTCCTCCTTTGCCTCCGCATAATCTAGGACATGATAAATCATTATCCTCTTCATCCATTTCAACACCTAATGTGGACAATATCAACACAAAACGATATACTGATTCTGTGATGCTTCGAAGTGATCATAAAGAGTCTTCTCAGGTAATCACTTCAGCCATTGATGCCCAGGTGAAATCTATCAATGAAATGTTATCCTACTTTTCTAAATTAGTCAAAGCTGAAAAAACTGTTCAACAGGCTCTGTCCGATTTACTTGATGATCAAATGGGATCATCCACTGTTGGCGGTGTTGGTGGTGGTGGCCAGCGTTTGAATACCACCACTATGCGTAATTTATTTAAAGCAAATTATACTCGTGGACGTCGTCGTCGTTTAACCATGAATATCTTGAATAAAAATTTATCTAATTCATCTACTGATAGTGAATTAAATAAAGTAAGTTCAGTGATAACCTAGTATTGCCAGTTTTTGTCAGTAGAAACAAGTTGTTATAAAAATATAATTTAATAGTTGAATTCATGATTCACTTGAAGCTAGACCACTATGGAAAATCTGAAAGCACTGGACAGCCATTTCGTCTTATTATGGGACTCCTCAGGAACGCACACCCACGATCTCGTTCAATTTCGTGGATTAGTCGAAGATGGACATTAACACCGCTAGCCTAGCTTCAATTGACTCATGAATTCAACTATTAAATTACTATAATATCCACAAAAACCCTTCTTTGATTATAAAAATATAATTGTTGAAGTTTTATAAGTATTCTGGTTTACAATGACATTTAGACAGATGACTCCTAAATCTTTAACTCTATTAAACTTATTGGCTTGTGGTTTATTCAATAGAGTAAATGTAAATATCAATGTAACTTTTTTTGATAAGCACAAGCTCTATGAACTCATCTTTTTTAATATGCAATCAATATCTCTTTATATTATAATAGCTTCTTAATCACTGGTTAAATGATATAATCATTCCATTTATTAAAGTTTGTAGTTATTAAGTTCTATTTACCTTATAAAGAATCTATTTCAAATATAAATTAGTACGGTGGTAAAAGAAAATTGTACTAGACAATACCAATTAACGATAATTGCAGTTGCTCTCTGTGGTATCACATGTTTCATGAGGTTACAGAAATAGCAAGTGACATCATCTAGTCTGTGACTATAAAGAAAAATCATTAATCAAGAACAATAAAACCTTTTAAGTTAACTTAAAATTGAAGTCGGTAAATTTACATTGTTTAACCACTAACCAATGTGGTGTTTATCTAGTCTTCTTTGTTGATTGAATTTTATCGGTTAACATGCAATGTAGCCACTGGTCTGAATGACTGACTGGATATCACGTGAACTATGCTTGAACGTTAGTTAGTTTTAGATAATCACATGGAAACCCTGAATGTCTTAAAATATAAAGGTAGGACCATCAATTCCCTCAAGATTGGAGGTATGCCTTGTTGTGCAAACTGGTAAAAACCATGGTTCAATGTTTTCTGCTCTGCTACTTTTAACTACATAGCATTCAGGAAGTGTTTCCAAGATATTCGGTGCTAAGTCCAACTAAAGATTAAATTTACTCAAAACAATTAGTCACTTTGATAAAATTTGATAATGCAATGAGAAGACGAAGTTTATCAGAATTATATGTTATATCTGCGTAATGCATTTCGAACAGTCTGATCACACATATACTTGTTAAGACATTTTTCTATGAAAATTAGGTCAACTAGACAAGTTAAAGGTAAGCTGTAACAAAGAAAAATAAAGTATACAAAAACAATGTGATGACCACTCTGGATAATCAATCAGTATTACCAGGGTAGGTTAAGGGTAAGGACAAATTGTTTTTGAACGCATAAAGAGGGTTTTAGTTTCCGTATAGCCAAGGCCTCAATAAACTTGAGTATACATCCTTGAAGGCTTTTGTACAACACTACAAATGCTGACTTGATGTCAACCTTATGACCAGTCTCAATCAAATGTTTCGTATTCAGTTGAGTTTTTCAACCCGAAACATAAAGTAGTTAAATTAATCCCTTATCAATAGATAGTTTTTGCTCTCTTTAAGATAATAAAGAGAACTATGTATATGGAGTCTAGACATTGTTGACTTCTATTGTAACCACTTCTTTTCGGTTATATGAATTAAGACTTGGTTTTTTTCGTGTGTGGAAAGGATCGCCCAGGACAGGGTTGGATGGAGAGTGCTGGTAGGCGGCCTATGCTCCTCCACGAGGAGTAGCAGGCGTGAGGAAAAAAGGTTATTTTGTATGTGTGTGAGTGTGATATGCTTTTTTGTTACATCTAACTCTTTAATTATTACTATTGTCTTCAGCTTTTACAAAATCTTGTCATTTCAACAAATCATCAAGCACGTATGTATTCGACACGTGCATTATTTCATAAATTAATCACTGCTGGACAATTAGATAGTTTAAATAATTGTGAACAATGTTTGAGACGAACTTATCTAGAATGTGAAGAAGAATTGAAATCACAAGCACGTCAGGTATGTTTTAATTTATTGTATTCCAAGTTTATCTATGATATAAAGTCCCTTCTTGACTATTTCTTATTCTATACTACTCATTTCGTGGCTTTATTCGTTTGTTTTATGACTTTGTTTCTTGCATTTATGTTTTTTACTGTCATCAGTATAGTGATTTTGACTTATTCTCTGTTGATTGTAGTAATTTTCTCACTGGCTATGTTAATACTTAATGTATCATCTAAGAGTAGAGGATACTCGTAAACTAGCAGTATTTGATCACAGATGTCTTAGAAATATTATCAGCATCTGTTGGGATCATCGGGTAAGTAATGGTGAGGCTAGACGCATGATATTAGGGAATGGTGGTAAATCAGTCGATGAGGTTGGGAATCTTCATTAACTGAAATGGTTGGGCCACGTATTCCATATGCCTGAACACCGGTTACCACAACGTGCAATGTTGACTAGTGTTGGGGACTGATGGAAGAAAGTGAGAGGCGGCCAAACCTTGAAGTCACTAACGTCTGAACTGAGCCATATTGGTAGATACAGACTACTTGGTCGGGGTCTACATAACTATGGCACCCAATGGTTGGAGACTCTGCATGGCATGGCTCATAATCGATCACAATGGCATCGGTGTATACACTCTTTGTCTTCCCTTAAACCATAAGATTATAATTGCTTTATACCTTTATCTCTACGAACTAATTCTTTCTCCCTGTATCATATCCTTATATGAAGTCTGATTTTTACTACAATTGAAGTAACTACTTCTATGGATTTGGTGTTGATCTTGTTGTGCTAATGAGGTATGAGAACTTGGACCGATGCATATATGTGCCTGGTCTTACGTCGTCGCTGACTGAATGACTGACTGATTGTCATTTGAGATCTGTACATTTTTGTGTACGGTCGTACATTGTTTACTGTGGAGTAGTGGCTCGAAGATTGAAACATTCGAATTTAAGCCACGAAGTCAGGAATTGGAACCCCGATCTACTTACGTTGGTTTGAGGAATCAGGTGGTATCACTAGCTTCATACTTTTGTTGTGAACTTGTAAACGAGTTGTATTCAGTAATTTGTTTATGATCGAGTAAGATTAACGGTTAACTTAGAGTATAGAGTTTTTATGCATGTTTTCCTTCACTTAATCATAACGTAGAATTTACCACAGCCATTAATTAGTTGAAGTTCTCTCATTTCCCCTCGATCATAGTAGGGAACTATTAGTGTCTTCATAAATCTATCAACAAACCATTTTTACTTATTCATTAATGAGTAATTATGAGATGGGTTGCATTGCGAGTTTGTAACTAGTAGCTTTCACTCATGTGTGGGTAATAGCATTTACCGTCTGATGGGATTAGGTCATTGTAGTTCTATTTCGCGAATCAATTGAAGTTGGCCGTGTGGAAAATTTTGTCCAAACCCATTGGTTTAAATATTATGTACTCACCTCGAAGCAACCTCTGGCCGGTGTCGTAGGTGTAGAATGTTGGGGAGTCATGTGTTGTAATGAAACAGGTACTTAGTAGCTCTTGTCTTTCAACTAATGCTTAGCTGACAATGTCAGTCAGCATCGTAAACCGTCTTTAAAACTAAACTATTCTCGACAAATCTCTCGATCAAATTTTGGACAATATATATTTAAGAGAGTAAATGGAACCGATGAAATTTAAAAGTACAAAACAATAAACAAACTTGAGATGATTTAGAAAAAGAGAAAAAAATAAGTTGACTTATGTCGCTGTGTCATTGATTTTCAACCATATCGTTCGATCACTGCCGCGGTTATTTCATGAATCTAATCTATGTAGTGCCTATCAATTCATTTAGATTAGATCAAAAGTTCTCGTTTTCATTTTAACCTTCTATGCATCTCCAGTTTTTACGTACATGGTTAGTTTGTTTAGTATAATAGGATCCCGACCGTTGTTGAGTCTTATGTGACCGACCTCAAGCAGTTGTCCTTTGGGCACTGCGGTCACACTCTCAGGTCACTAAGACCACTTCTAATCCAATTTCCTTCCCACGTACCTCCAGAAGAACCCTTCCACGGTGTGGACCTCATACCTCTAACAGCACTCAAGATCACTAAATAGGGTACCTTTCCATAACGTATTAATACATGTTGTCAAAAAATTAGGCATGTAGTATGTTAATTCTAGAAATCGTAACAATTACTTTCCATGGGTGTGGTGAACATTACTTACTGAAGTTAGGATTGAATGGGAAAAACGCCCATCTGAGATAAGATGAATAGATGTGTGTTTTTTTTTAAAAAAGGAATCGTTTAGGTCATTAAAATTAGAGGGTTGGTTTAGAAACGATCATATAACTGATGATTTCAGATTTGATAAGGTTGTTTACCATTGAATTCATTATGATTTCTAATTGAATTTTATAAAGTCTACTTTCATAATGTCTCATATTAGGAAATTCCATGTGTTAAAATGAATAAATAAACACTTTGTTAGGGTAACTTTTTCTATGAGTAGGTATGTACCAGATTTTCAACAATAATCAACTGATTTTAAAATACACACTAACTTGATTTAAGAAAAAATATGCATGTATAAGACCTGAAGAACTCCACCTAGAGCCCTAACACCAAAGTCACCATTTTCAATACAAATGTCAAGACAGTTCTACTCTAGGGACGGAAACTTGGGGAACCACTAAAGCCATCATCCAGAGGATACAAATGTTCATTAACAGTTTTCTACGCATAAAAAATACTTCGGATTCGTTGGCCAGATACTATCAGCAACAACCTACTGTGGGAGAGAACAAACCAGATCCCAGCGGAGGAAGAAATCAGAAAGAATCGCTTGGAGTTAATAGGACACGCATTGAGGAAAGCACCCAACTGCGTCACCAGGCAATCCCTCACCTGTAACCCTGAATACCAAAGGAGGAGAGGAAGATCAGAGAACGCATTACACCGAGAAATGGAGATAGACATGAGAAGGATGAACAAGAATTGGATAGAACAAGAAAGGAAGGCGGAGGACCGAGTGGGTTGGAGAATGCTTGTCGGTGGCGTATGCTGCACTGGGAGTAACAGGCGTAAGTAAGTAAGTAAATAATGAGACCTGAGGAGCATCTGTTTGATCTTATTGCAGGTTCGGACCTCGTCATTTTCACAGTATCTCAAACAACCGATTAGTAGTTGCTTCACTAGGTCTCATCCATGAAGTGTGTGGATTAAGGCTGAATACATAAATTGTTATTTGATAAATAAGTTTGTAATGATTTAATCATCAATTACTTGTTGAATCAATAACATTTCGGATGTCACCTTGCAGAGTTATTTTCGTGTAATTTTATTCCAGTTTCGTTTATTGCCCGTGTATCGTTGAATGATCGAATGAACGACATTGAAGTTAAACATAAAGTACTAGGCAAATATGGTAAAGTAGTTGATAATTTTGTGAGTCTTCATCGATTATAGTGATTAAGATACATGTTATGTATACCCAATTTACTGCTTACTTCGACCGGAAATATTTGGCTGGCATTATAGTCAGTTGGAAGGAAGCTAGGCGCGGCGAAACCAAAACATAGCATCACTACATGAAGACAATAAATGTTGGACTTAGTTATTCTAGAAGATTTAAACCGCCTCGTTCGGGTCTACTCAATAACTAAGATCATTGATCGGTGATCTGGTGACATAGTTCAAAATCCATTACAATGATACAGATGATTTCATATTGTTTCTTTCTTAAATATTGAATTTTGAGCATTCCTTGATACATACCTTTTCATACTGTCTTTTTGAACCATATTATCACAGTGTTTATTCGTTCTCATTATCATTGCTACTAATATGACTTCGATTTCTTCACTATTCAACTTATCAAGTTAATATGATACGGGAACATGAACTAATACAGGTTTGTTCCAGGTTCTGTATTGATTACGGTTAATTGTATTACTTTCTTATTTTTTATATTACAGTATATGTTAAGCTTAAAAGCATATGAAAAGAAATATTTTAAATATATTGGTCAATTGTCAAATATACAATCAAAATTAACAAATTTATGTGATAAGCGTAAGTTATATTCTTTTGTCAACTATCTTATATTGTATTCACTTGTATCTTCCCATTGTCATTTAAGATTGCAATTGATCAGTCTCTTATTGTCATATATGCATCCTGTGTGGACTGCCTCGATATTGCCTGAAGTCATAAGCTTTTTAAGCGAAGATGGATAATGGCTAGCAATGGAATCCAGGACTCGTGTTTCGTCCTATTTTGGACTCGTCAGCTGGATCTACCTGCATATCGAGTGCCAGAGTGAACAATAACTCTGTTATGCAGGTGTATCCAGCTGACGAGCCACAAATAGGACGAAACGCGTGAATTGGATTTCACTGCTCGCCTTTATCTACTTTTACTTATAAGATATATTGTATTCATACGTAAAGTTATCTTTAAATATTCAATTAAGTCTACTAAATTGTTCTTAAAAGAATGCCGATTACATTTATATATATTTATATATCATATTGAGCATAATTTTGTTGTGTTAGTTCTGATGACCATCTTCTTCTTCTTCTTCTTCTTCGTCATTATCATCATCTTTTCGCCCAACTTTTGTCTTTATTTATTAACATCAAAATGTACTACATACAGTATTTCACATATAAGTAATTTTGTTTGCTTGTTTGTTGTTTTACTCTCTCTTGTTATTTAATGATACATGATACTTTTTATTTATATCCTATTCTTATCCTAGTCAATATCATTAATATACTTATTATGTTATTGTATGACATATGATTTAGTAACCGAATGTTCATGATGAATTTGATACAATTTTATCTTCTTGTTGTTGTAAAAAAGTAGGAAAAAGTAATTTAATATTTGGGCAAGAAATGAATTAATTAGAAGTATATTGAATTCCCCAAATGTCCTGGTTGGGCTGAGAGTAGGGAGAGTCAGCTCTCTCTAGAAATACTCTCATATAGCCACGTGCATACAACCACTGTTAGGGAAGTCCTACTCACTGCCGTCTCGCTGCGATGTTGTTTACGAAATTGAGAGGACGAAAAGTGAAGATCCGGTGTATTAGCCGGGTTGGTGGGTATGGAGGATTCACCGAAGGGAGTTGGAAAACCCTGATTCCAAACCAATGGTGCATATGGGCTCCAGGATCTTTAGGGATAAAAAGGCGTACGAACCTATTGTTGGTCACCAGCTACCATGTGACTGCATCTCCTTACTTTGCTCCACTGTCTTGTGGATTAAACCTTTAGGTAGAAGTCTCGGGGTGTGGCTCCTTAAGAAAACCACCTGCTTCAGTTTGGGCACCTTGCCAGTATCCCAGGCTTCACGTAAATCTAATGATTTGTTTGGCGCATATGTATTTGGTGCCTCCTTTTACCAATGTCTATGTGTTTAAATAAATAAATACTGAATCCTTATACCAAGTAAATTGGTTGAATAAAGAGTCATTCAAAGAATTTACTTTAAATACTGATTGTGACCTTTATCCTGTTCTTGAATTCATTATATGTGATCTTTATGGTATTGTTGGCATGTAGCATAAATGACCCCCTTATCTTATATATTAACTGAGTCTTTATATGATATGTGGTGTTGTTGCTAATTTTCTCAGTCATGCTCAAGAAATAATAAACTTTAGGATTGCAATCAGGGATTTAGGGGTGCATATTATCGAGTTTGGTGAATTTTTAAATTTATCAGTTGATCATGTTTTTATCATTCCTTGATTTGTGATTGATTGGTGAATATTATTGTTCTACATACTATCTTCTAGAAGATGGAAACCTCACAAACTAAGTTAACTGAATCTGAACCTGAAACTGTCTGAATATATCAAGCTGTATAATATCAACTCGACTAGAAATATATCCGCAAATCATCAAATTTTGAACGAAATTCGTCTTCATAACTGAGAGAACTTCCTTTGGGCAGTAGGTGGCCCATTTAGTGTTCTAGGTGTTACAAAACGTATATTAACAAGCTGTTATCGTTCGATAGCATTCTGTAGTTTGTCTTTTTGTCAATTATCTGACGGTTTCTCGAGTCTTTTCTGCAAGAAGTTTGCTTTAAAGCCTCTTTTTTGAGTTCCTGAATAAGGGGTCTGCTGTATGATATAAGCTGGAACATTTCCTTCATAAATTTCGTATTCAGTTGACAGAACCTTGCATTATTCCATCTTGGCGTTGCCGAATGATACATGATGTTTTGATGCAACCCAAACATTTATTTCGTTCTTTCATACAAGGAATAACCTTGTAACATCTTTAGCACTCTTCACTTCATATATTATTATCGTTATTGTGTTTAAAAAACATCTGTTGTAAGGGAGGTATTCTTATGCCCCACACAACTTATCATGATGTAGATTAGACGTTTCCAACACACTGGTGGTTTCCATTTATTCATTTTAGTTAACTTAAACTTTGTTCTTACAATGAGGTTCTCTTTTAAAAAGCATATGATTGTTATATTTAAAAATAAAAATAGTTCAGTTGAATTAGGGAATTAGTTTTTTGTTAAATTCATATATATGTAAACCTAGGTGACCATTCTACTGTATGGGATGGAAGCTTGGAGAACCACTAAAGCCATCATCCAGAAGATACAAATGTTCATTAACAGTTTTCTACGCAAAATACTTCGGATTCGTTGGCCAAACACTATCATCAACAACATATTATGGGAGAAAACAAATCAGATCCCAGCGGAGGAAGAAATCAGAAAGAATCACTGGAAGTGGATAGGACACATATTGAGGAAAGCACCCAACTGCATCACTGGGCAAGCCCTCACCTGTAACCCTGAATACCAAAGGAGGAGAGGAAGATCAGAGAACACATTACACCGAGAAATGGAGATAGACATGAGAAGGATGAACAAGAATTGGATAGAACTAGAAAGGAAGGCGGAGGACAGAGTGGGTTGGAGAATGCTTGTCGGTGGCGTATGCTGCACTGGGAGTAACAGGTGTAAGTAAGTCAAGTGACTATTGGCTGCCTGTACGACTCGGAGTGAATTCATGAACTCACTGACTGTTGGGCTCGATGCTTTTGATAAGTTCAGACTACCTTATTTGAGTCCGCCGAGTTACTGTGATCGATTACTGGAGACGTTTTACAACACTTCAGAATGTTACAATGCTTCAGATGCATTCCTTTTTCTCTTTCATAAAATTTGAGTTTTAAAATTATGTTGTATTTCTAATTCATTTTGCATTGGTTGTTTGAATGTCCCCCTTGATGTTTAGAACTTTAATTGATCAATCTGTTATTGGCATATGTTCATTCTGTACAGATGTGTTGAAATTGTCTCATATCACAAGCATTATAAGCAGATATGATGGCGGCTAGCAGTGGAATCTAGGACGCATGTTTCGTACTATTTGGGAATTGTCAGCCAATAGCTTGTGCAATGGGCTATTTCGACTCAATAACTAAGTAGGTAACGCGATGGCATTCTAAGTAAATGTACTGGGTTCGAGTTCTGGAATGAGCATTAACTCGGATGTGAGTGCATCCGGCTGACCAGTCGCTAACATGACGAAACATACGTCCTGGATTCAACTGCTAGCCACCATTATCTCTGCTTATGTTGTATCTCTGTTTCTGCAAATTCATTCGTATTTCCCGATTTATACTATTTACGTTTAATGTTTTCTACCGTCAATAATACTCTTCTAAGATTTATCTCAAAAATTTCATCTATTTGTATAATGACTTCAACCAATGCACATATATACTTGATTCTACATTACTAATACCTGATTGATTGACTAGTAGTGAACAATTACTACTATGTAATTGTTCAATTACTTATTACATATTGTCACGAGTTTATTATTCAGTGATTAATTCACTATATTAAATTTTAATAATTGAAAATTATTCTTTCCGTTTTATGTTCATTTTTTCAATAGAAAAAACAAAACAAAACAAAACAAACAAACAAACACGAAATCAAAATTGATTTCCAAAAAAAAAAACAGAAAAGAAAGTTTAGTTTATTGATTATTCGTGTTAATAGTAGTACTATTAGTAGTATGTGTGCGCGTGCGTGTACATTGGCACAATCATTATCACCATCTAATCTTACTGATCATATATAATTATTATACATAAGTACACGTACATCACTTTCATTATTTCTTTCTTTGGTACTTATCAAAACAAATAGAGTATATATATATTGACTTGAATTATTACAATTATGAACTTCATGAATGTGAATGATTAATGATTAATTAATGATTGGAATGTTTATTGTTGTGGTGATACTATTCATTTAATCATTGTAATTGAATATTACATTATCGATTATAAATGGATTTATTCTATTTAAGATCATAATGACAAAAAAAAGTAAAAGTTACTCATAGAAAGAAAAAAAGCAGTAATATATTGAAATAAAAGTGAAGAAAAAAAGAAAACGAAAGAAAACCTCACCCCCGAAACTTATCAATAAAGGGAATTAAGGCCAAAGAAGGATAGAGTGGCTTTTAGAAGGAAAATGTAAAACAATTACTTGATAAATACAGAAGCATTTAATTAATTGTGAACATATCGCTCCGAAAGAGTCTTCTTTTAAAGTCATCTACAGAGTCGAAAGAATTGGATCGAATGGTTGTCTGAGCAATATTTTATACACTGTCGAAGTATTGGTAATCCATGAACTCAAGCCTAAACTCTCATCCTTCCTTGGCTTTAATTCACTTGATTGGTATTTTTCGTTTTTTTTCTCTTTCTTCTTCACTTCTAAATAATTTATTATTTGTTGAAATATATACCGAATATTCAGTGTTTTCATTTATCCCGTTGTGACTGGAGTTATGATAATGAACTGAGAGAAATGTATACTTTCAGATAGTATTGAACTTCATATAAAAAGCATCGCTTTACATGTTTAACCGTATTTAGCATGTTAAGTGATTAGAAGTTAATGTTAGGAAACTCTACCTAACCTAAGTGTAATACTAGTTGATACTCGTTAGAGCACCTAGACGTATTTTTAATCTTGCGATAAATGATGCTCATTGTGAGATTTGAATTCATGTCATAGGCGTTAACACTGAGCTAGTTGGCCCAAAACTGATTTCTTGTAGAATTGATAATATTGACACTGTTTAATCACTGAGTTATTTTTATGTAATCTTCAGTATTGTCGAATAGATCACTATATAAAAAGGCGTCAAAAGGTTGCAGCTGTCATACTCATGAATGGAGTCGAAGATGATCATCATTCTTGTTAATTTTTCATTATTTCATGTAATTGATTTCTATTAGCTTATATTCATTTCATGTACATCTACTGACATTACGTAGAATCAAAAGTTTTAATCTGATCAAAAATCTCAGTTTAACGAAGGTAGACTTAGATCTTACTGTGTATTATTGATCAAAAGCTTGAACTTAATCGATCCGACTATATTCGTTCTGAGAAAGTAATTTAATCGATGATATTGTATTTAAATTGTACTGCTATGCAATTTATTTCAATTTGTATTAGACTTCTTTCAACAGAAGGGTCTTTTTAGTTTCATAGAAAACACTATACTAATGAGTCACTGAGTTGATATCCATCCAACAATATGGGGTATTGGATGCTAACTCTGTTGCTCCTACTTGCGGTATCATGTTCGGAACGTGACTTTAAGCTCGTGAGTTGGGTTCTATGTAGGGTTGTGGTTTGTATAACTGTTAAGGAGAACCATGTAAGTTCTTTGATTTGATATTTTCAATTGTTTTTCAGTGTGAGGTTTAAAAACATTCATTGAACAAGTTGGTTATGACTTGTCATGTTTGCCTAACCACCTCCCATCTTGGTGGGTGTTGTTTTACTAGTATAGAAGTAGGTTGGAAGAAAGCTAAGAGCGGCGAAACCGAATGGTAACATTATTCTATGAAGTTGTTGACTTTCCAACTAAGCGCTGTTGTCGGGTTTAGAATACAAGATTTCAGTCCGAAGGGTTATCGCAACCAATAATTAATGACTTTGGGTGATGTAGTTCAGAATCGATCATAACGATGAAGATAGACTCACTCTTCATCCTTATTCTAGATCTTGGGTTCCAGTATGCTTTCATGAATACCTTTTCATCTTGTCCTTTTGGACCATCTTATTATTATTATTTTTGCTACTAAATTACTTCGATTTTTCTCCTACCCATCTTATTAATTTCATCTCGTTGTGTTGTCTGACAACTTAAGGAAATACACATTTGTTTCAGATTCTATGTTAGTTATTAGTTACTTTTTATAATTAAATAAAAGTTTGACAATTCCTCAACCAGTAAATGTTAACAATTTAGTTGACATTAATGAATAGTGAAATTCAATCAACCATTCATAGTGATCAGTATAGGGTCGTAGAGATTATTCATTTTTTGATAAAGATCATCCACGATGCCACCTGCGGGATTCAAACCCAAATTCTTCAGTCTCGCTCGAGAATGCTTAACTTCCAGAGATCCCGCTCACGGGATCGTGGACGCGCACTGCTGAGGAGTCCCACAATAGGACGAAACGCCCATCCAGTGCTTCCAGATTTTCAATGGTGGCCTAACATTAATCGGTTCATGATCTCATTTACAATGATTTCCATTTTTATTTTCCCAATTAATTTATACTTGGATACATAAATGGTAATGATTGAAATTGATGATCATATCATAGAAATGAACTATTCTGTGTTTTATTATAGTTGTAGAATTAAATTACATGTAATTTATACTTGACCTTTGAGTTGATATTTAGAATGGTTACGTGTATACAAATCATGTTTAGTATAATTTGATTTGATTATTGTATAGCACAAGCAATTTGATCATAATATCTATGTTTCATATTAATGATTGATTAGTGTTAAATAACAACTACAATTATAACTACTATGTTGATTTAGTGATTATGGTTGTATATCATGACAACCGAATTGTATAAATGTTGGATTGAACGTAGTACAATTGTATTACTTACTAAAGATAGAATTGCTTCTAATGATAGTCAGTTGTGCATAGATAACTTGTTGTCTTAATTTACATGTTTATTCCATTATTTTAATTATGAGTAGATTTAAGAGGATCCAAAAATACAGGGATTTCTTTCAAGAAAGGAGCGGTTACTTAGTCGTTACTAGGTACAGTTAATATTGATGTTGCCATTGTTGATCAGATTAGGCAGTCATCATTTTCGAAGCCAATTCATTTTTCACTAAGCTAGTCGATCACATTAACCTCCAAATAGTTCAATAATTATGACAAATTTAAACATTTACAGCGGAAGTGTTTTTGTACTGATTGAATAAAAATGTTGACTTTCTTAAGTAACTACCAAATCAACAAAGACATTTAGATGCCAGTTAAAGTTCTGACTGGACAAAACGTTTATACCGTATCTCACTAATTATCATATTTTGAAACAAAAGTGATCATCAAATAAGAATATCCAATCAGAAGAAAACGATGGTAACTAGCAATGAAATCGAAGACTCGTGCTTCGTCCTATTTGGTACTCTTCAGCTAGATGTACCTGCATCTCAGCATTGATTTTCACTTTAGGACTCGAACCCAGTACCATTCGCTTCAAATGCCATCGCGTTATCCACTTAGGTACTGAGTCCACTTACTTGTACAATGGGGTGAAGTTAAATTCACTTGGTACTATTTGCTTGAATCTTCCCATTGTTATTTAGGATTGAAATTGATCAACCTATCTCTTATTGGTATATGTGGAATACGCGAAGGAGGCTCATGTGCCAATAAGTGACTGATCAATTGCACTGTTAAACATCAGTGGGAAGATTCTAGTAAACAATACCAAATGAAATCGGAAGAAATTTATTGCTAAATGTTTTATTTCAATGGTTAAGATCATGAGTCAGTTGAAGCTAGACCACCATGGAAAACCTGGAAGTACTGGACGTCCGTTTCGTCCTATTGTGGGATTCCTCAGCAGTGCGCAACCACGACCTCACCCTCTGCGAGATTTGAACCTAGGACCTACTGGTTTCGTGCGCGAGCACTTAACCACAAGACCACTGAGCCGGCATCCAACGATGTTAATGTCTAACTTCAACTAATCCACAAAGTTGAGCTACACATCCACCATTGTCTTCAGTGAGTTACTATCTCACAACAGACCTGGTTGAACAAGTCCACTGGTCACTACTTATTTTATTGTTTGAATTTTTTTTTATTTATTTTGTATTTTCATAGGTTTAATTAATAATCGTAAAGTTATCGACAGTCTAATGAATAATTTGGAATATTCTACTAAAAAATTGCATTTATTACATAACGAATATTGTTTGGCATTGATCACTGCCAATCATTATCAACAGTGGCTATATACACATTTACGACCATGTCTACTTAAAGGTGTTGAACGTACTATGCAATTGGCCTCGGAAGTTGTGTAAGTTGTTGTTATGGTGTTTTGTCAGTATTTTGTTTCGTTTCCTCACTGGTTGATATCAGTTTTATTTATAGAAGTATTTTTTTCGTAATGTCCATTACTTTAAATGTCTTGAAGTACTTGATTTTCAACTAAAAAATCGCTGGTTTCAGTTTAACTTCACCTACCTTGATTTAGGTGAACAGATCGTATTAATAGTCTGAAAGTATAGTGATGTGACCTGAAGTTTATTACATAATACCTGTACTTGCTACGTCAGTTTTGTTCGCATTTTCGATCCTACTATTTCATGATTTAGTCTGGTCCATAAGATTTTGGAATTTTTCACGTTAACATTGTCTGTAATCAAAAATCGAACTTTGTGTTTGAAGCAAAAGTCTCATTAGTAATACTGTGAATGTAAGATTTTAACTTATGGTTATGAACGATCCACTATTGTGTAGATCCCAGCCTCTTAGTCAAAAAATTTGTTTACAGTTTGAAGTAATAATATTCACTTGGAAATTATCTAGGGTTTTATACTAGGATCAAATATTTAATTGGGTTAGAAACTATCATGCTTATCTCCAAGCTTTTCGTCAATATACCATTAATAACAATACTGAGTAAGTTAATTATCTTTGTTATCTATGACCTGTTTGATCACCTAATATGCTTGTTCCAAATACCTGATCAACTGTTCCTTTCATAGTTACAAGACAAAGACACTTTCAAAATCCTCATCCTTGAGCTGCAATGATATCCTCGTTCATGTTAAGGGAATTTTTCCTTCAGTATTATTATGTGTAAGTGGCTGAGATGTACTTTCTCCCTTACTTGACCAATGCTTACTTAAAACCTTGTGATGTATGTGTGTATAAAAACTTATTATCAGTTTATGAAGCCATCAACTGTTATCCTGAGCTGTGTTCGTGGATGTAAAATACCTGCCTAGGTTCAGCATGACAACTGTGATTAGTGATTGGAGACGTTGGGTGACTTAGCTCAGGATCGTCACAATTGCACAGATGGTTTTACTCCTTATATTTCCATCGACCTTGAGATCCAGTATTTCTTCATACACATCTTACTTTCCATCTATCCAAAACATTTTCTCTTATTTTTCCATTTAACTCGGTCACTACATTATTTCGATCTTCTCAATTCACAATTCATTATGCTATTGTTTTGATAACACGGGAAAACTCACATTTGTGTTATGTTGTACGTTATTATCATGAGTGATAGGAGCTTTGTTATTTATTTTGTATACGCGTAGTTTGTGAATGTGATTGAATAATCGACAAACAATTTGATACTCTTTATAAAACAGGCTATTTACATACTTAAAAAGGCTTACTATGGCATATGAGTAGTGTCATGGTAACGTTAAAAATAACTTCTTATCAATGCATCATATATTCTTCTTCTTATCAATAATTTAATATTAAAATGAATATTTTTCTTTCATTTTCTCTATTGTTTAATCGATAGGAAAATGTTTGATCAGAGTATTTAAACTACTTACTGTCATACTGATATCAAAGTTCTAAGTATTAATTCTATTGTTGAGATCATAAGCCAATCGAAGCTAGACCACCGTGGAAAACCTAGAAACACTGAACGGCCGTTTCGTCCTGTTGTGGGACTCCTCAGCATCGCGCATCGACGATCCCGCCTCACGAGACTCGAACCCAGGATCTGTCGGTCTCGCGCGCGAACGCCTAACCTCTAGAACTCTGAGACCGATAGGTCTTGGGTTTGAATCTCGCGAGGCAGGATCGTCGATGCGCGATGCCGAGGAGTTCCACAGTGGGACGAAACGGCCGTCTAGTGCTTCCAGGTTTTCCATGGTGGTCTAGTTTCAATTGACTCATGATATCAACTATTAAAATTACTATAATATCCACGAAACCCTTTCTCATATTAATTTTATATAAAAAAATCAGGGAAACAGTCATTTTAATATGACATTACACTATGAAATGAAGTTATGTTATTTAAGACATGAAATCTAAGCAAGTGGTATTTTATTATTGTGGAAGTTTTGTTCAATCTTCGTAATTCTACATCACGAACTGAATTTAACTTACCTAAATGTTGAATACCAGAGAATACAGAATTGGTGTCTTGTCCTAGTGGTAAGAGATTAAATGGTACGTGTCCGTGATTACATGAGGGATTAGACTCTGGACCTTTAGGGGTTACGGCATGTGCATATATTCCAAACCAATTAGTTGTTACCCAACATTATAAGCTGATTAAAGCTAGAAATGTAAACTATTTAAAGTCGAGCGTTTGTTATAATGTCTGACGGTTCTAGGTTCTTTTGTTCTCAACGTTCACACTTCATCTCATAGATAACTGAAGCGTCTGCTGTTTTAAGGAGGTGGGAAAATTTTTTCTGGAAGATTAGAGTAGATTCTTTAAACGGCATATAAGTTAGTTGAGCGGTCACACAATTAATTAGGTGTTCATACATTAGACTCTGAAATTTCTTTTCTTTCATCCTTTGGGAATGAAATGGTAATATGTACTCTTATGTGTTGGTAGCTAATTATAGCTGCTTCCAATGCACTAATCTGCAGGGGAATGGTCAATTTAGACTTATTTTTGAATTATCTATGAATAATGTTAAGAAAAATAATTAAAACTGCACAAGCAGACCATCCATCCAGTTGAGAGACTTGAAAATTTATGAGTACCATTAATGTTAGGAGGCGAGAAAAATATCTTACACGCATACAGAAAACAGTTTTCAGCTTGAAAAATTCATCGGGAACTTTCTTTTATGTAGCTTTTATCAAACAGACGGATCTACGCAATTACACGTTTAAGGTCAACATGAACCAATGAACATCGTGGTCTATAAGACAAACTGTGAACCACATGTGAAGAAATTCGCACACTTCACTTCTACCTGAATTTTATGCTGATGATGTCGTCCAGAAGAACGATGAAAGCTCCATGACCAAACCATCCAGCTCAGAGAACAAAACTCCATCAAAATCATCCACCTGAGCTACACATCTTCACCTAGGCAATTACAGTTTGATAATAAATTTGCTGCAAAAAGATATGTCCGTTGAATCTGGTATTTTCGCTGTCCTATTAAGAATCATTCTAAAAACAGTCTTGTTGAATTGAAATCTCTCGGTTTCGTTATGACATCCTGGAAATAGAGTCAAAAAGTGATACAACCCCATCAGTTTCAGACATAGATGATCAGATATATCTTATGATAAACTAGACTTAAATGTAATCTTACTAGGCATTCACAGGATATATTCTGCCAATCATCTGTTTTTTCCCGGTTGTGTTCATCACGGATTATTCCCAGCTGAAGCATTAATGAAAAATAGGAAGGGCTAATCAATTGTTTCATCTTAGTGCGACCACCTGGTCTTGGTGACCTAGTGGTTTAATCTGTGAGGAATTCATCCAAAAGATCAAGTCGATCTCAATAAATTCTTTTTAACTAGAGTTTACTAATCAGATTGCTAATAACTCATTTCAAGATATTCCTGAAGTTCTAGCGAAACGTCATGACTTATAGAGTCCAGATATATCTATAGTAAGACATTTGTTACTAATTTCATCGGATAATCATCATACTAATTAAGAAATTGGTTGGGATTTAAATTGTAATATTGGATGCTGACTCAGTAGTTCTAATGATTAAACGTTCACCACGAGATCTGTATATATGATACTAGATTGTTCCATACTAGGACAAAACAGTTTGTCCAGTACTCCCTGATATTGATTGTTTTTTGAACTGAAATCAATATTGTGACAAACATGACCTACACAGTTAAATTTATTGGTTTTTTTTCATAGTGTTTAACTTACTTATCAAGTTTTTTTTTCTCTCTCTCTCTCTCAAAAACTGTGCTAAATACCTTTTGTTCTTCTAATATAATCGAAATTGATTTTATGCCAAGCACTCGCCTTCTTAGATATTGATTGTACTCATGCACACACACATACATACACAGTTTACTTGTGTGTGTGTGTGTGATTTGTTCTTCTAGAGACCGGAATGTGATTGAACGTTTTATTTTGTTTGTTCTTGTTTTTTTTCTATCTTTTGTTTGTGTGTTCTTTTTAATATGCTACTACAGTTTTATGTAAATGTACTCATAAATGAATTATTGTTTTCAAGTACTTTCATTATTGCTATTGTCATTTCTTTTTAGATATCAAAATTATTAAGATTAGGATGATCTTTTTGTTAAGTGTGCATTAGAAATAAAAATGATCCCTTGATACTTTATGCGCTTAGACTTCCATAGGTCGAATTCAAATTCTCTCTCTGTTGATTATGAATTTACCATGGTTATTATTTTAAAGGCAACATTCATCATAAAGTACAGGTATTTGGAGTTGAGTTTCGTCGAAGCATTATTTGATTCTAATGAAACTAGTAGGTGAGACTGATTCCGAGCACCTTCAGGTTTTATCTCCTGATTTCTGCAGCCATTTGGAAGACTCTCCTGGTCTATCACATTGTTCGAGCATTCCATGTACCTAAATAAATGGCTGCTGTGGTTGCCAGAAGGGGCATAAGCCACGTGACTTCTGAAGGAACTCGGATTTCACCATGATGCGTCATAACTCTTCTAAATGAAGACCTTCTGACTCCCAGGGCAGATAGTTTGAATAATTTTTTCTGGTTAGCGTTTTTTTAGCAATTTTTTTCTACGGGATGGGGTCTCTAACCCCATACCCAACCCTCCTCTTTTATCCGGGCTTGGAACCGGCAGTATCCCCAGAGGGGCTCCAGGCGGAGTTTTATGAATTGACTCCCAATGGAGCATAGGCCGCCGGCCAGCATTCTCCAATCCACTCTGTTTTGTGCCTTCTTTCCCAGTTCTGTCCAATTTTTGTTCATTTTTCTCATGTCTGTCTCCGTTTCTCGGTGTAATACGTTCTTTGGCCTTACTCTTTTCCTTTGACTTTGAGGATTCTATGTAGGAGCTTACCTTGTGACGCAGTTGAGTGCTTTCCCCAATATGTGTCCTATCCACTTCCAGCGCTTCTTCCTGATTTTGTCCTCCACGGGGTTCTGATTTGTTCTCTCCCACAATAGGTTGCTGCCGAGAAGTGTAGACAGACGAGAAAAATGAACAAAAATTGGACAGAACTGGAAAGGATTGCTCAGGACAGCGTTGGTTGAAGAACGCTGATCAGCGGCGTATGCTGCACTGAGAGTAACAGGCGTAAGTAAGTAGGTGAGAATTGTAGTAGTTAGATGAAAAGTACTTAGCAAACATGAATAATCAATTGATGAGGTTGTGAATCTTAAGCGATTGAGGTAAGTAGGATATATGTAAGGTAAGCTTAACCATAGCTTGCATCAGCTCACTCACACATGGTACTAGGTAAGAATGACAAATTGATTGACAGATGAGATAGGGAATGTTTATTGACCGAGATTGTGGCAACATGTGTTACGTATGCCCACTCACCTCCACCTACCTCGACGTGCTATGTTGTCAGGCTTAGGAGTAAATTGGGAGGAAGCTAGAGGAGGCCAAACTAATACATGCGATTAGTCATGAAAACACTGAGCATTGAGTTAAGCGATGTTGGCAGGTTCAGACGACATGGTTTGGTGTACATGAATATTGTGATCAGTTGTTAGAGAATTTGAATGACATTGCTGTAAATCATTTGTGATTTCCTATGTACATTAACTGTGTTGTTTTCCCTGAAATCCTCAGTTTCTAAATTCATCATAAATGTTTGTCAAGATTTCACGAATTTAATTTTGTGGAATTGTATTTTGAATTCCGAATTTTTTCTGTTATGACTATCGTTACATTCTTTACAGCTGTGGGATTCGCATTAAAAATTCATCTCACTATGTTAAGGTTAGGATTGTGGCGACGTAAACCGATGTACGTATGTGTCAGGTTCTACTATCGGTCTGATTGATTGATACTTTTGTTGTGATTTATCGGGTGTTAGAGGGTGATTACAATTGGGTTATTGTGTGTAATTTATCAATAGCTTTAAAACTGGAATTCTGTATTATATCATGTACATTCTAAACTTGAGTATATGGTAATAATAAGTGAATGTGGCGAATCGTTTGATCAGCTTGTAAATCTTCATCGAATAAAAGTGATTGAGATATGTGTATTTCCAACTACCATCTTTGTCTATAGAGATGTTTGTTGATGTAATTGGTTGTTAGAACGCTATTATTGGCTAAATCAACACTGCGTCACTTCAATCGATTCTGAACCATGTCATTCAAGGTCTCCAACCACTGATCATGGTTATTTTGCAGACCTCAACAAGATAGTTTGGACGTACCGATATATATATTTCTATGCCGCTCAGCCTCTCGTCTGGATGTAGGTAACGGTTAAGCCACGTCAGCTGGTGAGAATTAAAAACTTCATTAAATGATTTCCCGTCCTTGCCTAATACTCCCTATATAACCTCATCATTTCTCATTTTGTCGTTCCATGATATACGTATAATGCTTCAAAGATATTCGTGATCTAAAAGCCTTGAGTTTTGTCATATCTTCTGCTTTTATGTACGACATCTCATAATCATAGAGTAATTCTCGCCTTTTGGCTGATAAATAGTCACCTCGCATACTCCATAAGCGTTACAACTTGTTGTATGAGACTAACACAATAGAATTTCTTATCTTCACTAGTCCCGCTATTTGATAAAAAATGTCTTAATTACGAATCCATAATGGTTAAAAATACATTTTAAAAGTTTCATTTTTTCCAACTAATAACTCATCTCAGTCGGATGATAGTTACTATCTTTCAAGTATTCCTTCAGCTCCATACAATATAGGAGACTACTAGTTGAGTGACAATTGTATTTGTTGCCAGTTCATGTGTTTTAAGTGTAAATTGTTTCTTTATTTATTGTATAGATGATGTTAGACTATATCGTGAGTTAAAAAGTTAGTTATCACTGACAGAATCGGATGCTAGTCTTACAATTTTGAGAAGTGACTGAATTTAGATATATGAACTATTGAAGACTAATTCAGTGTTTCTGAAGGTTAAGCACTTTCTGAATGCCTCAAAAGTTCCACGTAAGATTTCTGGTAAGTACTTAATTGTATATTGCTGATGATAATAATCGTGCAATGCTTCCTAGTTTTCAAGCCAGCTATAATCAGTTTGTGACGTAAATCTTAGGATTCAATAGTTTCCACAAATCATTTCACACTAACAATAATCATGAACTTACTTACTTACGCCTGTTACTCCTAATGAAGCATAGGCCGCCGACCAGCATTCTCCAACCCACTCTGTCCTCAACCTTCCTTCCTAGTTCCATCCAATTCTTGTTCATTTTTCCCATGTCTATCTCCATTTCCCGGCGTAATGTGTTCTTTGATCTTCCTCTTTTCCTTTGTTTTTGAGAATTCCGTGTGAGGGCTTGTCTTATGACGCAGTTGGGTGCTTTCCTCAATGTGTGTCTTATCCACTTCCAGCTCTTCTTCCTGATTTCTTCCTCTGCTGGGATCTGGTTTGTTCTCTCTCATGAACTTAGTGGTGACTAATTTCGATAGGTAAGTTCTGAAGTTCTAGTGGCAAGTCCATGAACAATGTAGTTCACCCCATGTTTACCTACCGTATATATTCAACATCTTTCTAAAAACTACTTGTTTAATGTATTAATTGTTATTTTCTGTCTTTTCCATTTTTCTGATAGCTGGCATCTTCTAGTTTTTGGTGGTGAAAATATAAATCATTTTCAATCGAATTGGCTTAAAGAATTTCAATCTGAATTAGATTTAACAAGCTTATTAGAACAAAATGGGTAAGTTGATGAATGGGTTCATTATGATTCAATAATTTTTATAATAACATAAATTAACTTTATAAGCAAAGATGGATAGTGCCTAGCAGTGAAATCCAGGAGGCCCATTTCGTCCTAATTTGAACTCGTCAGCTGGATGTACCTGTATCTCAGAGTTGATGTTCACTCCAGTACTCGAACCCAATACCATTCGCTTCAAACGCCATCAAGTTATCCACTTATTTACTTGGTCTTGATAACTATTTGCTTGTACAGTGGGGTAAAGTTTAAATTCACTTGATACTGTTTGCTTGAATCTTTCTTAGGTACATCATAATTTCGATAAAGTTCTATAATGTTCTCCTATCCACACTGTTGAATGCTTTCTCAAAATGAAAGAAGTTGATGTATAGTGACGAGTACAGATATGATAGTAATCATAATAATACAAAGAAACAGACGAATTGTTACTGTTTGAATAACACTGTCTATTAAATAAGCTAATAAATAGGCTCGACAAAATTAACCATGATCAAAATTAGTTATAGGAAGGTTGCTGTAACCTAGCCCTCCTATCCCATGCTCATGAACAAATGCAAATGAAGATAACTCGTGTAGCAGAAGCATCTGCATCAGTAGGCCTCAACATACACAAGAGGAAAACCAAGGTCTTCAAATACAACACAGAGAACACCAACGCAATCACACTTGATGGCGAAACTCTGGAAAGTGTGGATTCATTCACATATCTTGGAAACATCATCGATGAACAAGGAGAATCAGATGCAGACGTAAAGGCGAGGATTGGCAAAGCAAGAGCCGCATTCCTACAATTG